GATATCAGTCTGATGCTGTACTGTAGCTCCTCTTAAAAAAACATTAATAAATAAATGATTACGAGCAAAATAATAACACTATAATACAAGCTGCAACATTCTGTATCTGGAAATAGAAAGAATACCAGCTGGAAACTGGATTTCCATTGTTTTTCATGACATTTTCTTTGGCAGCTGGTTGTGGCTCAGTGTAAGCAGTCAAAAGGCAGCGAAAGTCAAAGAATAAAGAAATCAGGAAGAAAAGCGGTGAAAAGAAAAGCAGCACAGTTATTAGTGTGTCAGGAAATTTGCAAATGAAACCTGTTCATTTTCAAATGGGCTATGTCTACTGAACACCTGTGCCCGCAACTTCAGCTTCAGGCCAGATGACAGCTGATCAGGATGAGTGACAGGTGTTAGAGTGGGAACGTGACTAACTGAGGGGGAGGAGGTACAGAACACTTCCTGCCTCAAGGTGAAACCTAACATCTGTTTTGTTTTTCTGTTCAGAACAGCATATGTTAACAGTAACATATTGTGTCAGAGGCTGTGTTGAGGGGTAGCACCGATGAATTTATTTTTTGATACGTCCTTTTAATGGAAAAGTTGCCGTGTTCATGTTGGAAAGTATCTTTTTAGTGATCAGTATACTTTGAGTTAGCAGGATTAAATAAAGCAAAGTGAGCCGAGAAGATAAATACATGGGAGGAGGGAAAAATATGAAAATGTATTAAGAATTTGTGGAAGTCACAAATTGTGCTGCCATTGTGAAACAGAGTAGATGAAATACTGGCTTTGTTTATCATTTTTTCCCTCTCTTGAGTTGAAGTTTCTTTCATATTCAAACAGATTCTTCTGACAGATGTTTTCATGGTAATGAGGACCTTCTCTCCTGTGTGTGTGTTAACTTTAGCCAAGATATGCTCTGAACAGTCCTCATCAGCAATGCAGATTAATGCACAATGAAGAATTTTCTTATCTATGAAATCATGATGGTCTTACTAATAACCCAAACCATAATAAATAAATGATTGCCGTCAAAATCGACAATGAAATGCAAATCATGAGCGGAAACACACCTCTGAAACACTCTTTCATGCACACCAACCTCCATCCATTAGCCACACATTATTGCTAACAGAATTATCATAATCTGATTCTCCGGCTGTTGATTTGATCATCCTCTTGTTACTAGCGTAGTCGTCACGCAAAGACATCCCTCATGCTCATCCTATCGGGTGCACACTACAGGGAAATGGCATAAATCTCAACAAAACTAGGAAATCTGAAAAACCAGTTAAGCCAATTCCCTTGTTACTTGTGACATACTGCTCAGTCTTGCATTTAGTTTGGTGGCGTTTATCTTAAGCTAATTTACATCTTATCATGGAAAATAGGTCTTTGTTTTTCACTGCCATTGGACGTGATTTTTTTTTTTTATAATTGCACCCCTTTTCATCATTTGATTAAGACAAGCTGATAAACTAATTTTTAAATGTTAATCAGCCTAAGAAAAATACCTTTGTAAGTGTTTTCCATGAGTAGTAAATACAAAACCTATTCTAAAAAGCTTTAGGATCATTTAAACATTAAAACCCTAAAAGGTCATTAGCTGTTTGTAATATGCTTTTGAAATATGTGTCCTGTCCCTTTAACTACGGGCAGGGCTTCATAATTTGATTTCCTACTCATTTACCTCCAAATGGCTATAAACAACAGTTAGAATGAAGTGAAGGAGTGTGTGTGTGTGAGTGTGTGTGTGTTTTTCTGTGTATGGACTTGGCAGTCAATTCCTCCTGTGAGTGTTTCAGTATTGCTTTGGACAGCAGGTTTCTAAAAGGCCTTTCAGGAGGCTCAGGAGTAATTGTGCTTGGTCAAGTGAACTGGCCTCGACTGGCAGCTAGGCTAAGCAAAATAGGTGTTGTGTTGTACAACGTCTCGAAAGCTTCAGCCGGCGGGCCATTTTACTTGTGTTTGAAGTAAAACATCGGTAAGCATTTTGGATCCAAGAGCAAAACACAGACACACTCAGCGCTGCTGATTTATGGCATAAGAAAAATTGGAAGGAGTGGCTCTTCTGAGTGAACATCCTGCCCTCATAAAGACAAACAGCTTCTGGAAAATCCACCACGGGCTCTTTGTTTTGCTCAAATAGATCATGAGGGAGAAGAAATGAGCAAAACATGGCATGTGGAAGAGAGAATTATGATGCTTCAGCTTTACTATTCTCTACTTTCACACCATTAAAAGACACTGAACTGCATCAGATAACACTACATGAAGGAACACCCCTGCTGCAATCTTACCGCCATTTTGTCCGTCTGTTCTGAAACCAGGTCTTGACTTGTGCATCTGTCATTTTCAGGGCCTTGGCCAAGGTGGCGCGCTCGGCCGACGCCAGATACTTCTGCCGATGGAAACGTTTCTCCAGCTCGCAGATCTGCACCCGGCTGAAGGAGGTGCGAGGCTTTTTCCTCTTGGGCGGCGTTCGGTTCTGATATGGGTGGCCGATACGACGGGTCACAGAGAAGGGTGAGAGGGCAGCTGAAAAGGGCAAAAAATGAGACAGGATTTATCTGACTTTGTTTGATGATTCTTAAGCATTTCACTGGAGCTCTGAACATCATGCAAGTGAATCTTTAAAAATAAAATCCATGTTAGCAATAAGGTTGGTGTAAGTAATTGAGGTGTTTGGACTTTAAGGGTTCAAGATTAAAAACTGTTAGTGTAAGCACTTATTTCCATTTCTAAACTGGAATGATCTGTTCTTCTGAAATTTAAACTTATTTCCCTTGAGGTTTTGTTTGTATACGCTCATGTTAGAAACACAATTTTGTTTTCCCGTCCTTGAGTAGATAAAATGATTGTCCATTTTGTCTTAACTCTGGAAAAGCCAGTGTGTTTGGGGAGTCTAAGAGAAGGCCCAGAAGCTGCCAATTGAAGAAGATAAATGTAATTACAACTAATATTCCCCTGCCAGATTCTGAAAACCAAACAGCACACTGGGTTGTACAGAAAGGAAGTCCAAGGAAAAGTCATTTAGAAAGCCGGGATATGCAGCATCAGTTCCAAAAACTATTCAAGAAAAGATATCGCTTACAACTGGCAGTAAATTGTGTTCCTACTGTAAAACTATGGCAAAAAGTCAAGATCAAGGTTTTTTTTTTTCACATTTTCACACACAAAGACATATCTACATTGCACACAAGAGGGATGCACTTAAAAATTCAGCTGTGACACAGATGAGTGAGGTAAGGGAGGTGGTTGGTGGCGGGGAGGAGGGGGTGACTCACCTGGGCAAGCCCCCTTTGGGAAAGGATAGTCTGCTAGAAGGCCATTGCCGTCTCGCAGGTGAGCGAGCTCGGGGTAATAGCATTTGGCTAATGTCTCCACAGTGCTCCAGACGGGGACCCTGCCGATGTCACCCTTGGGGAGAGGACAGAGGGACCCGGCAGGCCCCGGCCCCCCTGTGGCCTCTCCGACTCGGCTCTCCTCTCCCTGCTCCCCTAAAGGAAAGGGAGACACAGTAAGGTCCCACATCTGGAGCACAGCAGCAGCAGCAGCCGCTGTGCAGGCGCCGACGCACAGCAGCTTAATCACATGAAGGAAGCCTGAATGATGAGCTGGGTCTACTTTAATATCATTTACTGCTAGTCTCTTAAGTTAGCATTTGGAAAGGTTTAGCTACAAAATCAGATATCTGCCATTTAGAAAAATAAGTGACAACTGGCAGGTTTACAAAGATAAATCGAGCACATACAGGTAATATTTACCTACTAGTAAGTGCCATTCACAGACTTTCAAGCTTGCACAGTACATTTTTTGTAACTTGGGGTCAACTTTTGCCATCAGAAAAATCATATATAAAAATTTTGCACAAAATTACTTCCATACAAACATTCAGCATGTTATTAAAACTCCAAACAGTGACATTACATGGTTGATATACACAATTACACAACTTTCAATCATTTCTGCAGAATTATAGACTCCCAAATTTTACAGATGTTGAATTTGAGGCATATATTTATTCTTTGAAATAAATCAAATTTATAGGTATTGACCAGACTGTTTTGAGTCTTCTCAACTGCTATGTCATTCAAAAATATGAGCACACTTTGTATTATTCTTCCATCTGTGCCTCACTGCCTGGTGGTTCACTTTCACATATCACTGTATCTGGGTATTAATAACAACTTATCTTCTGCATCATAAAATATCTATGAATCCTGTCTATTTTGTCAGCCATGGGTAAACAGAAGATCGATAAATGTAATGAGATCGTTTTTGGCCATAGATCCACTCCCCAGCCACATTCTCATTTTGAAGAGGGAATGGAAATCAACCGTAGAAAAAAAAGACTACTTTCTGTCTCTTTCTCTCCCTCTCTCTGTATCTTTGTGTCATTCCTCCCCAGCAAGCTGTTTTGCCTCCTGTCTTACAGGGTGTTTATTTGTTTTTGTTTTGTCAGGAAAGCTCACCAGAAGCCAAAATGAATATGAAAACATCTGCATAGGTGTCCCCCCGAGGGCCACGTGCTTCTGCTGCTATGCTCGCAGAGTTTTAGCGACCTGAAAAATTCATTTGCCACACAGACGATGACAATTTGGATGGAAAATGGAACATGAAGCTATTACGCGCTCTGCAGTCATTTCCAGGGAGCTGCCGACGTCCCCTGATGGTGCTGAACACGAGTGGCAAATTGAGGCGTATGCGAGCAAATGATTTGTAAAATAAAGATGAATAGCTGTAATGTGCTGTTACAGTAGGTCACATAAAGTTAACATTACCTGAGTGTAAATTAGCAATGCAGATTTAGTGCCTGAAATGAAAACTCACTGCCTTTTTATTGTGTTTTGTATTGGATTTATAGTGACCATGTCTTCTTTTTCTTCCTTTAATTATTATTTTTAATCTCCTATGGTAATATTCCTATAATATTATTATCAGGTTTCACATTATGTGTTGCTCTGATGCTCAATAGTAGTATAAATGGTAATTGTATCCCTCTAATATTCCTTCTGGGACGTAGACAGGCATCTATGGTATTTAATCATGAGTTTATAGTGACAAATTTCCCATGATGTTTCTGATATTTCTATAAGGTCCTCAAAGTAGACTGTAGCACCTCTGTGGCCCTTAATAGTGAGTTTATAGTAACATTACATTACATTAATCGTATGCCTTTAAACCTCACATGATTTCCAGTCTTATTCTTAAGGTGACTTTTCTATGATGGTTCTAATTTAAAGCTTGTAATTGGTCCTTTTAGGTTGGAGTCTCGTTGCCCAAAACTATGTGTGGCCTTATGGGTCACATGCTGAGAGCGAGCAGGCCTGTTGTTGCTCCCAGCGGCAGGTCTGGCTAAATAATACTGCATTAGATGGCTATTTCAGGCCATCTGTGGACTAACTAATGGACCAGGCACATACAAGCACGTTCAGAGGCAACCCAAGTGGAACACAACATGTAGCATGGAGGCTTTGGACCGGCCAATTGCAGAAAAGCTTTGCCTCACAGTGTTCAGAACGGCGATAAAGATATGATACGGTGGAAGCATCAGTCATGCTTCGTGTTTTGACTGAAGGTGTAAGGCTAAAACCGTTCAAGGATCAGATATGCCTTCAGATTTATCCATTGCTATTCTTAACAAGACTGTAAGATACAATATAAGCTTCATCAAAATCAGCTGGATTTCAAACCAACATCAAATTAAAAGACTGTCCCCGCTCAGCTGCATCAGTCCTAAGTTCCATGAATGAAAATAACTCATAACAACTCTGTATTCTTGTGTACGAGGCACTCAAATGTGTTCATTCTGCCCGTATATCAAGCCAGTGTGGGCTTAAGTGTTACATAGTGTGTTTATACTGACCTTTCACTACAGTATTATAAAGGTAAAGTGTTTACTTACATAAAAAGTATCAATCTATTTTTTTTTTTAGAATACATTTCTCAAAATTCTAATAGTTATTAGACTAATGTGAGAATTAAACATAAAAAAGATTTCTACATTTTAAATCCCTCCCTAAACCCCCAAAACATTTAATATAAAATCTTACATGAACCCTCACAATGTTTTTGGGATCCTCCAAAATCCAACAATAGCATTTGAATTATTTCCACTATGTGAAAAATAATTAGCCAATACCATTAAACTGGACCGCCTGGAAAACACTTTAACTTCTTAGATTTAAAAAAAGAGAGAAAATCTTGTTCCCATAAAAAAAGAGAAAAGAAAGAAAAAGAAATGTTGCAAAAACAAAACCTGACTTTTTCTTCCCCTTCCTCAGATGAAAAAGCAAATGGGCGAGAATACTAAATCTGCTGCCTAGGTAATACAATTTAGCATAAGCATATCAAAAAATAAAATGCTACCATGGAGAATATGTTTCCCATAATAAAACCATCTATACTTAATAACACTTCTCCGTGACAGCGCCTCTCTTCCCCACTGCGGATATTACCTTTGTAGCAATCTAATAAATATATCCGTGAAGGATTCTAACGGGGATATTGAAATATAACATGAACACATATTGCTATTTATTACACTATACAGGGACAAAAGGCAGGGACACTGTCTTCTGTCACACCGACAATCAGGGCAGCGTGGAAAGGCAGCAGCGGCTTCAGCACGGAAATAAACCCCTATTTCTCTGCTCTGACTGCCATTAACACACACACAGATTAACTGCAGCCAAAAAGGCTTTAATTATGTTTTTTATTGGTGCTGCGTGGCTTATAGAGCTACACATCCTGTATTATGTTTCTGTTTATTGTCAGGATGCCCAGACGATCCACATTATTATTATTATTATTATTATTATTATTATTATTGCAGTGTTAGTGTACAATAACAACTTTTAAATTGTGGATTCGTGTCTGTCCTTCGTATATTTACGCATTTTTTATGAATTTAAAGTGTCTACATTATAGCTTTATGGTAACACTTTTTGGACATTTGTTTTTTCAATTTATTACAATTATTAATTAATTCGCCTGAATTATAACAGCTAGGCCACTACTTAGTTTTTATGTTTTGTGTTTATATGGCATCCAAATGGTTGGCGACCTTTGAGCAGATTTTAAAAAAGGCTTAAATAAAAATAAATCTTAAATCAAGTCACTTTTTTTTTTTGTGGATGACACAGAAAAAAGGCTGCTGTAGCCAACATACTACCACCACTGCTAATACAACTACTACTACTAGCCTACTATAATAATAATAATAATAATAATAATAATAATAATAATAATAATGCAGTCATATTTGTGGTGGAATTTGGGATAGCTTAAAGAAAAATGAATAGGTCTGTGCTTATAAACCCAGAGTAAACGCAGAGAGGAGTTGATGAACATAAAGCCAGTAAACGGGTCTTATTTTCTAGAGATGGATTGAATGATTCCTCAACACCCAAAGCCTAATCCTCGGCGTCAGCCTGATACAACTTCTCCTGATTTATAACGTGAATTTGGGGCCATGAGGACGCGCGCCAAGGTGAAAAATGAGAGATGTCTATTGTGCAGTTTAACAGGTTCCGTTTACATCCCTGCAAAAAAGAAAAAGAGAGAAAATCCTCCCATGGCTGCCAAAGCTGAAGCCTTTGGCAATATGTTTGGCTGTTTAAAGCTGCACCAGGCCGTTTTTCTCCTCCGGTTTCAACTTGAAAAGCGGAGAGAAAAACAAGAGACAGAGAGAAACATTTAAAATGCTCCTCTGCCCATCAGGATAGATGATAGTCCATTTGATTTACGGCCTTTCATAGGAAACAGAGCAGGCTAAATCTGGACAGTGTGTGCCTGTGTGTGTGTGTGTGCTGCTGATCTTTGGCTGATCAATACAGTGGAAAGATATAAGCTGCGAAATAATTACAGCGACACAAAGCTGAGAGAAATTAAACGAGAGGCCCTCTGTGACTATGAGTAGAATTGATAAGCCTATTTACACTGTATCTTTTTGCAGTTGACATATCGTCCCCCAGTATTTAATAATTAATCAGGTAGAAAGAACGGAATAGTGAATATTTAATGCGTGGAGGAGTGAGGGAGGGGGGGGGGGGCGAATCTGAGTTTTACATTTTCATCTTCATAAGAATAAGCGTCAGAAGAAAAAACGAAAAAGAGCAGATGGACGCCACCTCCTAAAACTAAATGAGTCCATGGATGAAATAAGATCCTATAGAATGTTCCCATTTAGAGCAACTTCAACGACATGACCTTTGCTCTCTAATTGTCTTAATTCTACTCCTATTCGTCGATACCGTCTTCATTTAAAGGATGCGTGACCTTTGACACTACCACTCCGCTCACTCTGAAACAAACACACTGGGTTAAGCTACATGTGGAGTCAATACAGCACGACGCAATACTGCGTTAACTTAACCCAGTACGCCAAAGGGGGCTTCTGGCCATTGTCGTGTTATTTTTATATTATCGCTTGGGGCTACCTGACTAACAACAACTTCATGTGGGCTTTTTCCCTAACCACTGGTGGCTCGGGTGAAAAAATTAACACAGTCATTTCATCGGTGCAGTTTTTGTCTTTGTTGGTTGTTGTCTGTCTCTTGTGTGTATCGTGTACAGACTAACATGTAGGTAACTAATTAAAGAACAATTTTTTTTGTGGTCTGAAGGCGTCAAAGCCTCCTTGATTGTTTAAACGGATTATTAGATTTGTTTTACAGTGAGAACAACAGATATGAATGATCTAATAGCAGTATATACAACATGGTACAAGTGAGCATAGATAAAGCTGTGCAGGAGGCCGGTCTGAGGCGAAGAAAAGCGAACACGGTATCCATGTTAGACAGCAAGGACGTAGTAACAAATTCATCTGGATTGGTATACGAAGATTATTTGCACTGTGGACAGCAGTGGACGGCTGGATTTACTTGTGAAAAAGCAAAAAATGCTTTAAATGCGTGGTATTAAGGCCTATTAAGAAGAATGAGTCACTTGTTGTGTTTTTGTATTGTTTATCTCAAAAAGCGGAGAGATAAAGTCTAGGTTACTAGCACATAAAAATACTCTAAATTACGGTCCGAGTTGCAGGGCAGCTGATGGCTTTTTATTACTTGTATATTGCTGGTCATGGTTATGAATTGACAGCACGAGCAAAAGAAATAGCAATATAATGTTGGCTGATTTTTTATTTTTCGCTCCAAATTCATCAATCTCTAGAGGGAAGAACGGAGCAGTTTAATCATGGTGAGCGTTTGTAAGGATCATGGCTGACAAAGCTCCAGAAAGACGCAGGAAAGTGAAACAAATGAAGAGTTTATAACGCCGGAATTATGCAGGATTAAATGGTTGAGAGCTACCATAATTGAGGCATGATGCATTCAGACCCGGCAATATGTATCTCTAATTTAAAACAAGTATCGACACTAAATGGAGTGGATGCACATAATAATATAAGTATAATACGTGTTAATTATACCCACTGATTTTAAACTGCCCTATGCTTTAGTTTCGACATCTCTTCCTGCTTTTCAATTGGTTCAGAGACCAAGAAAATCATGTCTCCTCATTGAAAGACGGCAACGTCGTTATCGTCATTCGCTGTAAACTGGAGTGAGTGTCAATCGTGATAATCCGGCATGTCCAGTGTCAATTTCTCGCTCTCGTTATCCAGACTCCCTTCCAGCGTAATGAAAGACTGAGGATCTTTTTGCGGTGTGTTCGTGTGTGTATGTTATATAGCGTGAGTAGGATGTGGGTTTGAGCAAGTTCACCTAAAGATGAGAATCGATCTGCACTGTGCCTCGTGTCAGAGCTAGTTGGCGCCACATCCGCCTGCACACCGGTTCAGGGCCTGCTTTAACACAAATTGTAAAGACAAAAAAGAATCACAATCACGCTGTGAAGCCGTCGAGAAGATATTGTGGTGGATGCTATCTGCTCTTGAACGCAGGAGAGGTGCATGAAAGGCGCCTTCTGTAGAGATACAGTCCCTGGCCGTACATCTGTTAAATAACACTACAGGTGGTTACTCTCGTGTACCTGTTAAATACCTGTCTTCGGCCAAACTCTAGACGTGCTCTCCATCGGCACGGAAGGTGAGTTCGCCCGGCATTTCCCCATCCCCATCGCCGGGCACCTGAGGGGATGGCCGGGTCGATGCGGGATGCGTCGAGGGGGGGCGTGCGGCGCGGCGGCGGCGGCGAGGGGGAGGCGGCAGTGGGTCTGTTGCTGCCGGCACCCGGATCACCCCGACGGCGCGCCCGAGTTCACGTTAACGTTCATTGTTCATGCTGACGGTTCATCGTTATGTTGACGTTGTAGGAGCCGGCCAGACCCGCCGCCGCCGCCATGGAGCAGGCCGGGTTGTAGACGCTGTTGTACCCGTTGCTGTACACGTTGGAGGCCAGCGCGTAATCCGGGTCGCCGGTCCGATTGGGCAGCATGCAGCCGCTGGACTGGTCCGAGCTGTTGAGGATCTGGTCGATGCCGAAGCTGATGGGCTCATGCTGCTGCTGGTGCGTTTGGTTCACCTCCTCGATGCCGGTGTGCTCCATAGTTGTTGTTTTTGTTGTTGTTGTTTTTTTTTTTATCGGTGATGTGTTTGTCAGTATGCTCGCTCAGCGCGCGGGTGTATTTTTGTCATATAGTGAGTGACGCCTTGGGGAATGAAATGTTTGAATGTGTGCTGCAGTATTGGGCTGTTTTCTGTTTTCAAGCATCGACACGGGCCTGTTCTACTCCCAGGAAACCAGCAACGCGTCCAGCGCTATCCAAAATCTTGCCATCATTTTTGTCCAGCAGTGGGATCGGGTGTTCCCTAAATGAAATGCCTATCCATCGGGCTAAGAAGAAGAAGCGTATCCATCTTTAACAGTGTGTTCTTTTTCCAGCGAACTACACATTAAGGCAGCCTAACATCAAGGGGGAAAAAAACAATCGAAGATGCCAAATGGTTATCCTGAGTACTTACAGACAAAAATCCTTGCTCTTTTTTTTTTGGAGGAGGCAGTTCTCTGGAGAGGCTCGACGCGCTTTGTTCGCCTGCTCTGGCAGAGGCGATCCATACGCAGAGGGCACGGTAGTGTACCCAAGCCCGCCGCGTCAAAACAAAGCAACAGACAAAACAAAACAAAGCCAAAAGAGGCGAAAACGAAGCGCCGACCTCGCAGGCGTGGATATTAATTGGAGGTGAGCGCGAAAGACGGCTCTGTTGTGCTGAATGGTGAAGTGCGTTTCAGCAGGTGAGACAACCCTCTGCGTAAAAGCTGCCATTCGGTCATCCAGCCGAACCTCCCTCCCTCCATCTCTGTTTCCCTCCCTCCTTCCCTCCCTCCCTCCCCTGCTCTCCCTCCTCCTCGGTAGGGCAGTTGTTTTGCTCGGATGTCTTAAAGAAGCCGCAGCTTTCTGTGTTTTCTCTGCTATTGACGGGGGGGTTGTGCCTTTTAGTGGCGCTCAAGGCTCGGGTCAAGCGGTGTCCAAACCAGTTTCGCGTCAACGCTCGTCTACACGTTAGAAAATACTGAAGTTAATCATTGCATTCTTTCATTCGAGATCAATCATTGAGAGAATGCAGTCAGAAAAAGAAAGATGTTCCTCCTGGTGTCAGAAAAGATGGATTTTAACGAGAATAAAGGGACATTTTAGTTTTTCTTTTAGTTTTTCTTTACTTTTATTAATTAGGCTAATTGTTGTTGCTTTTTACTACAAGTGTGTCACTGTAGTTCATTTAGATATTTTTCATATTATGTGCGCTCTTTTGTGGAGATTTGATTTGAACATTCAACATGTTTAAATGTAAAGCCCTAAGTGATGCAATAGCCTTTACATTAGGACCCCTGGAGAAGAGTTTCTTTGGGAACTACATTAGAAGGCCCCTGGTCTGCAGCAATCAAACGTCTTTTTTTTGTCTGTGCAGTTAAACCAGCCACACATTTACCCACGAAGGACCCGCAGAACTTGCCCAATTGACCGCTGGAGTACCCCAGTTGAGGCACCACCAGTATTCGGATCGATATGCCTTATGAGCACGGAGCCTTATTTCTAAAGGCAGGTTACATCAGCACACTATGTTCTATCCAAGAGGCAACAAATACTGGACCAGATTTATGTGCGATATATGTGTGTGCTGAGGCAATAATCTGTTGCACTGTTACACGCAGTGAAGCCATAAATCCTCTGATATTGACGGGAAGCGTGCAGACTAGTATAGGCCTGATTTAAAGGCACTGATAGGCCCACTCCAACGTGCATTATCACAAAGTAATGAAATGTAAACCGAGCGTAAGCCTGTATGGGAAACAGCATACAGACCCAGGAGTCAAATAACAGACAGACAGACAGACA